ATAGAAAAAAAAAGAAGGAGGGTGGGAAGGGGCATCAGCTTTGTATACTCTAGATGACTAAATTGTCGGCATTTCTTGGGGAAGTCCAAACTGTTTAATTGTTGTCATTGATCCTCATTTCTTCAGTGGCATTTCAGAAGTCAATAACAAAAACTACCACCAACATCCCATGGTCTCTATGTGCCAGGCTTTATACCTAGTGTTTTTCATGCCTTATTTCATTTAGTGTTCATGCTCTGCCTGTAAGACAGACAATATTATCCTTTCGCTGAGGAGGAACTGGAAACTTTTAGACCCATACCACCCAGCAAGTCCACAGTAAGGCTAAGATTTTAATTCACTTTGGAGCTGGATTAAACACTTTTATACCTTCCTCAGATTTCCTCAAATTTCTGTTATCGAGTAGATTCCTAAATAACCCAAGGTAGAATCCAAGAATTTCTAAAAAGCTGAGCGAGGGAGTATAATGTGGATGATAAGCAGAAAGAGAAGGATGGAAGAATCATTTTCCTTTTAAGAGGAAGCATCATTCCTTGATTACAGAAGGTGCTAGGAGGTAGATGAAAAAGCAAGGTAAGTATTTGTTCTGACCTGGTGAAAGATTGAAAGGTAACAGGGCTTTTATAGGTAGCTATGACATTTGCTGGTTCTTGATCTCCTAGTTCCAAAAAGAAATAGTTCTTAGTTTCCTGCTCCTAGCCACAAGATTATTGATTTTTATGAAAGATATGAGAAGACACTGGGAATGGAATGCAGGAGATTAGAAATGGAACCATCCAAAAGGATGAGCCATTTTAGAAAACTGATGAAACCAAAAGATTTTTATTATCCTGCTTCTTCTTATTCTGTCACCATGAACTTTTCCCCCCCTGTGAAGGAATCTATCTTCCCAAGTGGGAAAAAATAATTTTTAAAAAGATAAGCCTGAAAAAATTAATTTAAACTTAGCCATATTAGGGTAGCATTAAGGCACTCCCGGGTACATTTTATTGGTCCATTAATATAGGGCCCGAGTGGTTGAATACACCTAAGGCATGTACTATATTAATGAACCAATAAAACATGCCCTGAAGTGTCTTAATGATATATTACAACCATTTCTATTACATACATAAATGCACTATTTGCTGGCTGTCTTGCATAGTTTTAACGAAAATCTTCAATTAACCAAAAATATTGCATCAAGAACTCTTAACCACAATAAAAAAGAGCAACAGAGAATCCTGTAATTAACTAACCGGGCTACTTACTCATGAGGTGATTCTGGATTGATTTAATCTTTGGTGCTTTTTCACTGTAAATACTTTGGAAGAACTGGTTCTTTGGATTTAAAATTGGATACTTTCAGGAAAAGACACAGATGAAAGCTGATAGAATTCATACTGATCTCCTTTCTTACTTAAAATATCCAACTGTGGGTGGTGGTTATAACATTAAATAGGTATTAATGACTGGATTCAAATAGTAACTCTCTATGCCTACATTAGAATGATATATTTTAGGCATGTGGGGACATTTTCTACAGTGATAAGGAATGCCACTCGTTCATGTATGCAAGGGTTGAGACCAACACGTGGGATCTTGTAAAAATGTCTTCTCCTAATCAACATTGTGTTCCACTCTTATTTATAAACTCAGTGTTGACCCTGCTGTCTTTTCACTGGAGTCATATAAATTGATGCATTGCTATGAGTAGGAGAAACTGGAGGACGCATGGAGAGAGGAGAGATAATGATGTTAATAGATATCATTTATTGAATGATTATTATACACCATACGATGCTGTAATTATTTTTACATGTATTATCTCCTTTAATCTTTGCAACAACCCTATGAGGGAGATACTATTATACTTGTTTTATAGATGAAGTATCCAAGATAAAATTAGAAACTTTTCCAAAGTGGTGGGCTTTGGGATTGAATGCACCCTCTGAATCCAAAGCCCATACTCAAGTGGGTAAAGCTTGGGATGGCCAGTATGAGAAAAGCAGAGAGAATTATTAGGTTTATCCTCTATATAGGGAAGAAGTCCTTTCTAAACTCTATCTACCAACATACAACATTGTACATTTTATTCTTCCCCTCCACTTCCTCCTTACAGAGGAACATAAATAGAGGAGAGAGAGAGAGAGAGAGAGTGGACATGAACGGGCCTCATAGCGGAGTCTTAAAAGATGCAAAGTGACTTCCATGAAGCAATGATCTAAGACCCAATGAGAATGGGCACATGGCGATATGGTTAGATACCAATGGCCAGAAACAGGTAAAATGTAAATGCCTTATCATCTGATCATGGGGAGAGAAGATGACATTCTCCCATCACTGAGGATGGCACCTCAGTGGCACCAAGTACACTCCTTGAAACTAAGGTGACAGCCCTTGGATAATGAGTGAGTAGAGAGTATCGTCAAGCTAGTCACAGACTGAAGAAATACTGCACTAACTGATTAACCCGAAATTTGACTACTGAACAGAATGGGGGCTCAAGACAGAAATGAATTGTAAAAAAGATAAGGTAAAAATTATTTGTACGCACCTTTGAAAGCTGAGATTTATGTACTGAGTTGTTTTATTCATAAACTTTTTAATTGTTACAGATTTGCATCCTAAGAGAACCTGACCATGAAATGTTTATGAAGGCGATTGAAGTGACAGCAGTTATTGTTGGTTTTAGGGCCATAAGTTAGGTGTCAAATCATCAAAAAACTGGCCTTTTTGAGGAATTGCATTTTATTTCGATTTCTTCTTCAAGATCTATAACACAGTAGGAAATTCATTATTTTGTAAACTTATTCTGTACCAGTTTCTTCAGCTGAATTTTACAAGCCTGGAAAACAGTTGCTGAAAGATCTTTGCTGCCTCCACTTGATTTTTACTCATGGTTTATATAGGTTTATATTTGCCTTGCACATTTGGTAGTCAATGATACAATTCACTTTGGCTTTATTTACTGAAGGGCTTGGCCCTGATGTTGAAAGTCATACTGCAATATTGTTTACTCAACCTTTAGAAGGCAGGAAAATTGTTAAACATAAGCTCTAGCACATTTTAAAAATTGTGGAAAAACACAATTTTCCTACAATATCTTTAAAAATCCCACATATACTATTTATAAATAACTTTCCTTTTTTATTTCAGTTTTTTTTTAAGACCATTAGATTGGTGTTATTTATGGTGAAGTGGTAATTTAATACCAGATAGTAAATTCATTATGTGATTTCAGTGGGCGGATAACTACATCATGCAATTTCACTGTATCTCTTAAGTGACTCATCTGCTGGCTTATGTGCAATGTAGGAACCAGATCATCAGCTCTTCTATAAAGCTGACCGAGCGAGTCATCCCAATGTGATGTAAATAAATATATATAAATAAACCAGCACCAACATGTGAGGGGTACTAGTGATGTCTGGGCATTTGCAGTGAGTAATTTAGTGGACATATGATTCTACTGCTCTTTTAAAAAATTTAATGCTGGTTTTGCTGATGAAGGCATCTTTGCTGACTATAATAACAGCAACCTAAATGTGTATAGTGCTTTAAAAATTTTTGAAGCACTCTCGCAGGTGATATTATCACTTGGAATACTTCCCCAGAATCCTATGACACAATTGTGAACCATATTGTCCTCATTTTCAGATGAGGAATTGTTACTTAGAGAGTTTAAGTGTTTCTCTTGAAGTAGTTGACCTGCTAAATGGCACAGTGGATTAGAACCAGGTCTTCTTGGAATCATGTTCTTCCTTTCCCCATAAGACTTGAGCATCAACAGGTCCAGGCACTAAAGCTAAATAAAACTGAATGATATTAAACTGACAATATTCTACTCTTTCTAGCCGATTGCAGTTTCATATGACTCAACCTGATAGTAAATTAGAGGCTTTGGGTATCCTTGGTCAGAAAATCCGAGAATTTAGTTGAAGTAAATGAAGGAAGAGCAGGCAGGCAGGAACTATGGCCATGGATCCAGAGTCCAAGGTGGATGTACGTGGATACTGACAGGACAACAGAGAAAGTGAGAGCTGTTTAAAATGTGAGCCACATTTGTGTTTTAGGAATAGATATTTGCTTTTCATTTTGCATAGCACCGTGGGATAAACTCAAAATGCTTCTGAGTGAATGACTTTTATAGATTAGAGATTTAACTGAATCTAAAAGCAAAATAGATCTATGATTTGAAGATCAGATGAGATTTTTAGCCTGATTTATTTAGAAAATGTTGTATGTTTGGGACTCTTGTCTAGTAAAGTTTGACTGTACCTTCATCAAATAAAATAGTGTAATATAGGTGTCAATTCATATCAACAAAAGTAGTAGGCTGTCATGAGACACAAGGAAAAACATGGTTGTCATGTCGAAAGGCTTTGGTTTAACACTAGATTATCCTGCATGCTTTGGACAAGTAATTGAACCCCACGCAGATTAATTTTCTTAATTAAAAAATGGTGATAGCAATACCTACCTCATAGAGATGTGGTGATGATTAACCTATGGATTACTGGAGTTAGTAACCGTGGATGGATTTTAGGACATCAATGAACCCTCCAACATTGCATGCACAAAATTCTGGTGAGATTGTTCATTATTGTCATCAGATCCTTAAAAGTCTCCACAAATTGCAAAAGGCTAAGAACTACCAACGTATATGAAAAGGATATGAAATTGTGAAATGCTACATAAATGTTAGAAATCAAGGATAAAGAAGCACTATCCAGGAAAGGAAAACAAAACAGTAATTTTTAGGGAGGTAGAATGTTTATCTATCTCCAAGAAACTTGGATTGGACTTTTAGGAGATAATTTGATAAGTCAAAAGTACATAAAACATAAACTACCTCTAATGGCAAAATCACTTTTATTTGTAGTAATGTTAAATATAGGCTTGTTAAACTGTGCTTTTGAACATATTTCATAGATGATAATCTGTAATTTACTAGTTTCTCTCTCTTTTTGAAATTTTAATGTATGTATTTGAGATCCTTTTATGATTTTTTTTTTTAGGTGATGTCATTGAACTCTTAAGTGCAAGATGAAACAAGTCTTCCTAGCGTTCCAAGTAGGTAAGTAATCTGCTCATTTCTTAACTAGCTAAATGAATTGCTTTATTAAGATACTGAAGGTATGTCAGGCCTATCAATATCCAGTATCTGGAATCACTAATCAACTGCCTATGAACATTATTTTTATGAAGATTTTTTTCTTTTGGCACACTAAACAAAAATAAACTCAACCTGGGGGAAGATGTGTGGAGGTAATGTGAGGAGGAAGGAATAATATCAAAGACCTTGCTTTCTCAAAGTTCCCTAAAGTGAAAGAATCAGTACTGCAGTGTTAAAATAGGCTGGAATTTGACAGAGGAGCAACAAATTGTGATTTAGGAATGCCACTGCTTTCTCAGACCGAAAGGCATTGTTGTCTGGGGGAAAGAGTTCTATTGTATAAACACTGTTGAGAGGATAGTGGAATTTAGATCTGCAGCCTCTTCCTTGATTTTGGCAAGGTTGAATGTAGAGGAAACCATAGTCGTTCGGGAAGAACGCTACGTGAACAATGTCATGTTTTATTGGTAGAATGAGTAAAGCAGACAGTACAGGCTGTAAAAACCTATCAATTGGTGTTATGGCAGGAAACAGATGGCTCATTCCCACAGAGTAATTCAAAGAATATCCAATAAAGGGGCTACTTGCAAAGGTGTAGATAGGAAATAGGGGAACCATGAGATAGAGTGTATCCGAGACTAGTAACACAGGGTCTATTTCCAACCCTAGGCTTGAAGGGGTGAGTTAGCTGGAAAGAGAGGCTCCTATGCAGGGGCCACCTTAAGAAGAGCCGTGGTTGTCATGTAGGGAAATGGGAACTTGTGAGCTAAGGGAATATGAATACGCTTTCCTCATTCACCTGCTTCCCTCTGATCTTCTGCCAGATCTCTCTAATAATAGAATCCAATCTGGAGCCAGAGGGCGAGAAATCTAATTGACTGACTCTTTAGTCTGGCCTTCTGCAGCCAACTAGGGTGAAGAGTGTGATCTGGAGGAACAAACAACTCCCCAAAATTGGTGGCTTACAGTCCCAAAGGCCTACTTCTCATTCATGCTAAATTCCAGCATGGATCAGTAGCGAGTGTTTCCACGTGTCCTCACGGTAGAACTTCAGAAATGGAGCAGACATTTCTTCAGAATATAACCAATTGGTTTGAATAGAATTTGGGATAGTCTCAAGTCAGTAATTATATATTTTGGTCTTAAATAATTTATGTCATTTGTACCTACCCAGAACTAGTTTAGGGTCCTATGTAAGCTTCAGGGAGCCAGAAAGTTGAATTCTACCAGGTGCCTGAACGAGAAGGGGAGGTGATAAAACTGAGCAGTGTGAATAACCACCATGGGTAACTTTTCTGTTCAAAGCATGCTGGTCCCTAAGTTAAATTAAAGCTGGGATATGGATTGGCAGAATAATTCAGGCAGAATTTAGTTTACAAACAACTTCTGAACAACTTGCATGATATTCAACAGAGTCTATATGTAGATTATACAAAAGCTTTTTTATTTTTATTTTTTTAGACAGAGCCTTAATCTGTCACTCAGGCTGGAGTGCAGTGGCACGATCTCAGCTCACTGCAATCTCTGCCTCCTGGGTTCAAGCAATTCTCATGCCTCGGCCTCCCAAGTAGCTGGGATTACAGGTGCCTGCCACCATGCCCGCTAATTCTTGTATTTTTAGTAGAGACAGGGTTTCACCATGTTGGCCAGGCGGGTCTCAAACTCCTGACATCAGGTGATCTGCCTGCCTTGACCTCCCGAAGTGCTAGGATTACAGGCGTGAACCACCATGCCCGACTTGTACCAGAACTTTACAAGAGCCAAATCCATATAGTTGACCAGAATGAAACCATAGAAGAATTTTTGAACTTCGTTAGGATTAAAATATTAATACTTACATTAAAAAAAAAACTTTTTTTAAGTGCATGGTATGGTACTAAGCCTTTAGTCAAGGAAATTTAAACAAAATTATCCTTGCCCTCTAGGAGTTTGCAATCTAAAACAGACAATATTGATCTAAAGAAATGCAATCAGTTCACCATTATTCGCAGGAACATTATCTGCTCTTAAATTGATCTATGGCAATTTTTAGAATAATTAAATTATGTATTACTTAGTCTACAACTTGGCTATATTTCTTTTTCCTCCAGTAGTATTACTATTTTTAAATGGACTATAAAGAAACATTATGAATATCTAGCACCTTTGGAAATGAATGTAATTTATGCAGAAGTGGGATAATGTCACATACTGTAGATGCAAATTTAGAATTGATTGCACTACAGGGAGATGGCAACCTCATCTATGCTTAGAAGAAAGTTGTTTTGTTATAAGCTGTTTTGGAAGTCGAATATTGGATTTTATTCTGGATATATAGCATGCCATTAGTTTGTTAATATCTTAATAGTGAGAAAACTTTCATCTCAATACTGAAAGGCAAAAAGTGTTGGGAATAAATCCTAAATATTAACTGATAATGTTTCCTGAATACCCTGAGGAATGCTGATGGGACAGAAGTTTCAGATATTTTAAGTTCAGCAGCTTCTACCTATGAGTGCTTTCTCTGACAAATTGCATAATGGATAGAGCACATGCTGCCCACATCACCTGCGTCCTTACCATTTTCGTACAATCTGGTTTGACTTCCAATTGCTGGTGACTGTGTCTCTGGCCAGTGGGGCCTGCAGTAGTCTGGGAGTACTGGAGGAAAGACTGCCATCAAGGAGCAGCCCTCAATTACAGACACGGAAGATTAGGTCTGTGGGTCCCAGTGGATGAACCAACACGGAGGAGCACCACGTTGAGCGTCCATCTTACAGTTTCCTAGGGGCACAAAGTTATAGTCACCTGAGGGGCAACTTGCTTGACAAAGTAGCTTTTCCTGACTTCCTTGCCATCTTTACCTCACTTCCCCACTTTCTAACCAGTGTTTCTTGGGATCAGTTTCCAAACAAACTATGTGAATTCAAATATTTGTCTTCGAGTATGCTGTTGAGGGAGTAAAACTAACATAGTGGGCTATTTCCCTAGCAGGCCTCCTTTTTCTTATACTATATTATGGGACTTGAAAAAAGTATATAATTCAGAGGTAGTGGCAGCACAAAGTTCCTTGGGTAAGTACTTTTGGTAGATAAAGATGAAATAGGTGTAGACAAGCAAGGTTGCCTAGAGCAGTTTAATGGAGACTTTGATTACAAAAGCTTATATTAAAGATGATGTGAAAATACTATAGAATCTTGTCTCAGAAATTTCTGATATTAGACATAACTTAAAGCATTAAAAAGTAAAACTGTTGAGTGTCTGTTGGAAGTAAGCTAAAGATAAAATATATTTAGGAGTTATGCATAATATTTGCATGTGTGTATATATGTGTGTATATATATATAATATTTTTGCAAAATATTTCATATTTTACTATAACCTGTTAATATGCAAAGTTACCAATTATTTATTAGATTACTAGATTAATTGCAAAATTTCTAACTTCTCTACACCAGCCACATGCATGGTGGCACCAGGACAGGATAACTGGAATAAATATCTCAGGCAGAAAACAGAAAATTGCAATGTATGCAGTAGTCACTAGTCCATGGTAATGATGAAATCCTGTGGACAGCTGTTATGTAGTCTTGGCAGTGAGAGAATGCCATGGTCAGAACTTGATTCTGTTCTCAGGGAGGAATTTTCCCATCCATTGTTTTGGGGGACTCCTGCTTCTGCCATCTGGGAAGCTTTGCTTGTCTATTATCTGCCGTGGCCGCAATGGCAGTTGAGGGCCCTAGAGGTTTTGCTGCCTGCCTCCTGCCTGTATGAGCTGGGTGGCCTAAGAGTTGCTTCAAGGCTCAGCCAAAGGCGTTTACGTCCTAGCTCCTGGTTGTTTTTGCAATATAATTTTCTTTAAAATTAATAAGACTTTCATCTCTTCCAGGCACATGAAGACAAATGTTGCATGTTCTCACTTATATGTAGGAGCTAAAGCAAATTGATCTCGTGGAGGTAGTGAATAGAATGGTGGCTACCAGAGGCTGGGAAGGGTAGTGGGGGTAAGGGGATAAAGTTAGATAGAAGCAATAAGATCTACTGTTTGGTAGCACAATAGGGCTACTATAGTTAAAGATAATTTATGACACATTTCAGAATAACTAGAAGAGTAAATGTGGGATGTTTTCAGCACAAAGAAATGACAAATGTTTGTAGTAATTGGTGATGAATACCCCCAATTACCATTATGCATTGATCATTATACATTGTATGCTTGTATCAAAATATCACATGTACCCCATAAATGTGTAGCTATGATGTATCCATAAACACTAAAAAATTAAAAATAGAAAGCAACTAATAGACTTTCGTCTCTTTGCTTACAATCAGTTCAGTATGCCAGGTACCATACCCACAATTCTTTCTTAGACATAATTCTTAAAGTAGTAGTATTTGTTTTTCTTCTCATCACCATTTATTTCTTTCTCAACTCAATGACATCTACCCCAAGGCCATGAGACTTGGGATGAAGGCCTGGTTCAATCTGAATTTCGTCACATAATTATATCTTAGGACTGTTCATTATTCAATTTCAAAAATTATGTATTAATGTTTGAGGTAAACATTCCCAACTTTTGAGGCTTAAAATTTCTGGATGTTTTCTTATTCCCTTCCATTTTTATGTGTACTTTGGATAATTCTTTCCTGTGGTCATTTCTTCTTCTAATATCTTGCCAAATAAAGCTAGTAACATCTAATGCATGCTCACATAATTCTATTTTACAATATCTTTTGCTACAGCCACAGGCTGGGGAGGTTAGTGGCCTGCCTCCAAAGATATCATGGGCATTATTGTTACTGAACATCTTGCCTCTGCTTAACTTGGGGTTTCGTTTTTCCAGCCTCTGATATTAGTTTCCTAGTTATGTTCTGCCAGTGCCACCAATTTTAGGGTTTTTGTTTTTATTAGTGTACATTCTTGATACTAATTTCTATTTTAGTTAAGATAACACCAATTAAAGCATCAGATAAACCTCAAA